ATTAATCTGAAATTGTTCTGACATATATATTTATTAGTAACCTTGCAAAATTATTTTGTACTTCAACAAATGCAAGTTTTATGAAATTCACATATGATATTTTTATTCCATCTTCAAAATTTGTATGAATTCTATAAATTTTTTATGGAGCAAGATTAAAAGAAAATTTCGAACATCCACAATTTTAAAAATTAATCTAAAATTGTTCTAACATAAATATCCTCCAACTGATACTTTAACAGCTATAGCTTTTAAAAATTTGATAATCGACGTCCACCAAAAATTTCACATCCAGAAATTCTGCAGAAATTTTTGAAAAGAGGTTTTGCTTATCAAGGACCTGGTAGAGTATAAAATTCCTAGGAAGTGTAAACCAGACGGATGATCGCAAGAAGCTGAAGGGATGATTAATTCAAGGGCGGTCCGCAGTGCAAAACAAAACGAAGCGTAGTAACAGAAGTCGAGTGATCCTATTAATTAATCTGGTGTCTCGATAACGCTTACGAGGATGGCCGTGGTAAAATTCGCTAAGAGGAAGACCGCTGAGAAATGCGTCGATGTATCACTGTTAAGCCACGCTGTCAGACGCACTCGGATATTATTCTGAATGGCCTTGATGGATACTAACAGACTCCTCTCTGTCAGCCACTCGATACACCTATTTCACGAACACTTCTACTTCGAGAACTTGCTGTACAGTGTATACTAGTTCGATTTACCGAGTACTGACGCTAGTTCGATTTACCGAGTTGCATGGAGATGACTCTGGCGAATGCTGGAGAATTTGCAACGGTGTACGTTAAAACGTTGATAAACACACTCGAGATACGGTTAATATTTACATTTTTATTTGCGGAACGATTTGGGTTGGGAAAGTACACTTTGTGATGAAAGGGATGGAATTTGGAGAGGTTTGGGAGAGGTTGGAGGAGAGTAGAACTGGGTGGAGGCAGTTTGGAGAGGGGCTTAGGGAAATTAGTGGGAGTTTAGAGGAGGTAGAATGTAGAGAGATCTGGGGAGAGCTTGGAGAGGGAGTTAGGGGACTACAGAGTTAGGGGAATTTGATCAAGGTGGAATGTGGCTCTTTTCTGAGAGGTAGAATCTGGGAAGAGTTTGGAGAGGAACTTAGGAGAATTTGGAGAGAGACTGGGGTTAAGGGTGTTTAGTTAAGGTAGAATGTGGAGAGCTAGGGAGAGTTTGGAGAGGAACTTAGGAGATTAGAGTTAAGGGAGTTGAGAGAAGGTTGAATGTGGAGAGGTCTGGGGAAACTTTGAAGAGGAACTTAGGAGACTACAGAGTTAGGGGAATTTGGTCAAGGTTGAATGTGGAGAGCTCTGAGGAGAGTTTGGAGAGGAACTTAGGAGAGTTTGGAGAGAGACTAGAGTTAAGGATGTTTAGTCAAGCTAGAATGTGGAGAGCTAGGGAGAGTCTGAAGAGGAACTTAGGAGACTAAAGTTGTGGGACTTTAGTCAAGGTAGAATGTCGAGAGCTAGGGAGAGTTTGAAGAGGAACTTAGGACATTAGAGTTAAAGGAATTTAGAGAAGGTTGAATGTGGAGAGATCTACAGAGAGTTTGGAGAGGAACTTAGGAGACTAGGGTTAAAGGAGTTCAGTCAAGATGGAATATAGAGTTTAGTTAAGGTAGAACGTGGAGAGCTAGGGATAGTTTGGAGAGGAACTTAGGAAACTATGGATAAGGGAGTTTGGAGAAGGTAGAATGTGGAGAGATCTATGGAGAATTTGGAGAGGAACTTCGGCAGGCTACAGAGTTAGGGGAATTTGGTCAAAGTAGAATGTGGAGAGATTCTAAAGAGGAATTTGAGGAGAGTGCAGAGTTAAGGGAATTTGGTTAAGGTAGAACGTGGAGAGATTCTAAAGAAGAATTTAGAAAGAGTACAAAGTTGGGAGAATTTGGGCAACATAGAACATGGTGAGATTCTGGGAAGAATTTATGAATTTGGGAATTTGATGATCTGTCATTTTGTTACTTTGTCAATTTATTAATTTTGTCAGTTTTATCAATTTTATCAATTTTATCAATTCTGTCAGTTCTGTCAATTTTGTCAATTTTGTCAATTTTGTCAATTTTGTCAATTTTGTCAATTTTATCAATTTTGTCAATTTTATCAATTTTGTCAATTTTGTCCATTTTATTAATTGTGTCAATTGTATCAATTCTGTCAATGCTGTAAATTTGATCAATTCTACCAATTTTTCAACTTTGTTAATTTTCTGAATCTTGTACATTTTTTCAATTCTGTCAATTCTGTCAATTCTGTCAATTCTGTCAACTCTGTCAATTCTGTCACTTCTGTCAATTCTAACAATTCTGTCAATTCTGTCAATGCTGTAAATTTTATCAGTTCTATCAATCTTTCAACTTTGTTAATTTTCTGAATCTTGTAAATTTCGTCAATTCTGTCAATTCATCAGTTTGTCAATATGTCCATATGTCAATTTAGCAATTAGTTAATTTGTTAATTTGTTAATTTGTTAATTTGTTAATTTGTTAATTTGTTAATTTGTTAATTTGTTAATTTGCTAATTTGTTAATTTGTCAATTTTGCAGTTCATCAATATGATACTTTATCAATTTAACAATTTAATAAATCAATAAATTTTCCAATTGTCAAATTCTCAGTCTTAGACCTTAAAAACCCAGATCTTCAAATCCCTAAAAAACCCTAAAAGCTAGAAAAACACTTCTTCCCCACAAGAAAACCATAAGCCATAAAAAGCTTCACCCATCGATGAAAATTGAACTTTCCTATACATACATGTATCGTTCCTCTCCATCGGAATTTCTTTCTATTCGTTGGCCTATTTCATTCGCAGTTTTCACCGACGTTACCTTTGTCACTGTAGTATCTTTGCAGTTTCACCTTTAACTCCTCTTCTCTGCTGGTCTCTCGACGTCGACCTCGACTCCTTTCCTCTTCTCCTTCACCCTTTCCACCCCTTCCGAACCCACGTCACCAACCCTCTGTCCCACCTGGTGCATCGTTTCTTCATTTTTTTCTTTTTCCGTGTACGAGATCTTGCAACGAGACGAGTCACTCGAAGAGAATTTTATCTCACCTTCGGTGGAGTGCCGGGCCTTGAGGAATAACGGTCAAATGTGGATTAACTGTGACGAAAATGGAAGTAATGCGATAGCGTTGTGGCGAGAAGTGTCGGTGCAATTAGGAGGTTTCGTGCTGGAGTAGATTTGGCGATTTTGGTGTTTAGGGATTTAGGGATTTAGGGATTTTAAGGTTTCAGGGTTTCAAGATTTGGGAATTTGGGGATTTAGGGGTGGAAGAAAGTACGGATTGCAATTTTAGAAATTTGGGAATTTGGGAATTTCAGGATTTGAAAATTTGGGAATTTAGGGGTGGGAGAAATTAAGGATTGAAATTTCAGAAATTTGAGAATTTGGGAATTTCGGAATTTGGAAATTTGGGAATTTGTGAATTTCAAGATTTGGAAATTTGGGATTGGGAATTTGGGAACTTGGGAATTTGGGAATTTGGAAATTTGGGAATTTGTGAATTTCAAGATTTGGAAATTTGGGAATTTAGAGGTGGGAGAAATTAAGGATAGAAATTTGAGAATTTGGGAATTTGGGAATTTGGGAATTTGGAAATTTGGAAATTTGGGAATTTAGGGGTGGGAGAAATTAAGAATATAAATTTGAGAATTTGGGAATTTGGGAATTTGGGAATTTGAGGGTGGGAGAAATTAAGGATTGAAATTTCAGAAATTTGGGAACTTGGGAATTTGGGAATTTGGGAATTTGGAAATTTGGGAATTTCAAGTTTTGGAAATTTGGGAATTTAGGGGTGGGAGAAATTAAGGATAGAAATTTCAGATAATTTTTTTAAAATTATGTATAAGTCTGGGTCAGGTGTGATAGTACCCTAGTTTAGTTTTACAAACCCACTTTCTTCTGTCCTATATATGTACATACTGCAATAAGTCTTCATTAAAAGGGTTCCCTGGAAGTAAGTCAAGGACATCAAGCAAGCCTCCCTACTTGCTCGTTATTCAAAATTGCTAAGAAAATGAACGGCCAAATAGGAGAGACCACGAACAAGGTTAAACATTGACACTGTTACTTACTATACTACATACAGGTACTAACTTCATATACTGAAAAATTAGGAAACTTTTAAAATTTATTAAATTTATGGTATTTCTGAAATTTAGGAAATTTAGGAAATTTTTACAAATTTAGGAAACTTGGGTAATTGGTGAAATTTAAGAAATTTAAGAAATTTATAAAATTTATAAAATTTATAAAATTTATAAAATTTAGAAAATTTAGGAAAATTAGAAAATTTGTGATATTTTGGATACTTGAAAAATTTATGAAATTTGGGTAATTCAGAAAATTTAGGAAATTTAGAATATTTGTGAAGTTTAGGAAATTTAGGTAATTGGTGAAATTTTGGAAATTTAAGTAATTGGTAAAATTTTGGAAATTTAAGTAATTGGTGAAATTTTGGAAATTTAAGAAACTTAGAATATTTATAAAATTTAGGGAATTTAAGTAATTGGTGAAATTTAGAATATTTGTAAAATTTAGGATATGTAAGTAATTGGTGAAATTTAAGAAATTTTGGAAATTTAGAAAATTTAGAAAATTTAGAGAATTTAGGAAATTTAGAAAATTTGTGAAATTCTTAAAATTTTGAGGATTACAGAAATTTTTAAATGTAGTAGATTTATAAAATTTAGATTTGTACAATTTATACAAATATACATCACACCCATAAATAATTACACAGATAATTAAAACTACCAGTTGCAACCACATTAACAAACTAAAAGTCCTCCCTACAAGTCCCCTATCTTCAAATACCTTCGAAACCCAAGCGTCTTAAACACCTCGGAGCCCCCATAAGCAGCCTACACGTCGCTGTCATCGAAACAAATCTCGGACTTCCGTTCTACTGATACCAGATGTATCTCAACACAGCGATAAGTTGTGATCGTTAACGATCGGTGTCTTGTTGCAGTTGCCTGAATAGAGCGGATTTAATCAGGGTGCACGACGGCACGGACTCGGGGGCGCCCACAATAGCCGTTCTCTGCAACCAAGGAGCGGAAGTGGAAGTGCTCAGCACAGGGTCAGACCTGTACGTCGAGTTCGTCGCTAATTCCGAGTGGCCTGGCCAAGGTTTCAAGGCGATGTTTCAATTCCAACCGTTGGACGATGCACCGCATCCCGGTGAGTAACGAATCGAGATATCCCCCCCGGCATTATGAAAATCCACTGTCCTGTCCCTCCAATTTCATTTCCATTTCCGGCGTCTCTGAATGGCGAGGTGATCTCGTCTGAGGTCCGGAATTACACGAGCTGTGCTCCAGGGCGCTAGGAAACCGTCTTAGCTCCTTTGAATGCCCGGACGTTTCTTCCTGATCGGCTCCCTTTCCAACGTCAATTTCCCTAACTCGATCGCACTTCCCTTACGATCTCGAAATTAGAAACGACCCTTTGAAATTTCTTGCGGGTGCGGGTGATTGTCCTTATGGTGTTAGAAACGTGATTCGGGTAATTTGTGGCCCGGGGATTTTAGAGGTGGATTGGCGTGCGTATGGATTTTAAAATTAAATACCATTCGTGGAGGGTAGTTTTTGGTGTTGCTGTTTCTTGAATTTGAGAGGCTTTTAGTGTTGCTGTCTTTTTAAATGAACAGCTTTTAAGTACTATTGTTGCTTGAAAATAAGGAATTTTAAAAATATTATTGTCTTTTGAAAATGGTAGACTTCAAGCTTTAATATTCTTTTAAAAGTGAAAGATTTTAAGTGTCACTGTTTTTCAAAATTGAGAGGTGTTAAGTGTCACTATTTTTTAAAATTGAGAGGTTTTAAGTGTCACCATATCTTGAAATTGTGAGATTTTAAATTTCACTTCTTCCCAAAATTAAAAGATTTTAAGTGACAGTAAATTTTCTGAATAAATACAGTGAATGTACTGTGAATGTAATGTGAGAATAAATTTTGTGTAGGTCAAACCCTACAAAAGTAATCCTACTAGCGCCAGCTAGAGTAAATACCCTAAACTATGACGAGATATCACTGTCGGTATATTATCGATTGAGTTCAGTCGGTATGTTATCTGCAAAGCTTGATCACTCGCGAAGCTCAGTCGGTATCTTACCTTCACAAGGTACGTGATCAAGGTTCTGCATAATCTGAATAGATGTCTGGCAGTACTGTTTCCTAAATTTTCACAGTAGCATAACAATCATAATTTCACAAATATACTAAAAAAAAAATTAAATAAGAATAATAAAATGATATGGTGGATGCAAAAATTTGAAAAGTGCTTTTCAATAATTTTGTTAATTGAGATTTGTAGATATTGCTGTTCTGTTCATTATAAATTATACTGACCCATAAACATTTATTTTATGAATTTTATATCTTAAATTTTGTTTCATATTCGAGTTATATTTCATTAAAGTAATACTTCTAGTTATATATCATAATTCTATTTATACTTGCAGCTATATTTATAGTCATACTTCTAGCTGCACTTTTAGTTACATTTCTAGTTATGTTCCTAGTTACATGTGATAGTGGTCATTTACTTTTGAGAAAGCACTCATCCATTTAATAATAAATTACATTTAATTAAATAATTTCATTAATTATATCATAGATCGATAAATTAGGATTCATAGTGATCATCTGCCAGTACAAAGCAATTTTCACCAGTTCTCTCAACAGACCACCAGATGGCTCTAGTATATTATTCTACATTCTATATTCTATTATACTGTATCAACTGATGTTAAATATTTACAATTTCTTTTTAAAAAAATTCTACTCCAACTTCCTATTAAGCTTCTTTAACAATATTCACACAAACTTGACCTTTGTAAATATTTTATTCTTTAAATAATAAAATAGTCCTCTCAACTTTAGAAAGTCTATTCTGTTACAAGATTTGCTTGTCATAAACTATGTAGACAGAGCACAGCATACAGTTTCACAAATGAATTATCAGTGTAAAATTTAAAAATTAATTAACAATAACAGTATTGTAGATAAAGTAGGAATTTTCTAGTGGATAAAATAGAAATCTACTTTACTTTCAAAATCTGTTGTATCCTTTGCGAAAGTGTGTCTCTTTTCAACTTGTTGTCAAAAATTTACAATTTTCAATTTCAACCTTGTAAATTAATTCTGATATAATTATTTAGACTTGAGATGCAAATTATAATTATGAGAATTTTCTAATAATCACAATGAAGTATATTTCTCTATACAGAACCAACAATATTACTTCCAAAACATAAAAATACACATCCAAATATAAAAATTGACCTTTCGTACAATTTCTAACTTGCTAATTCCCTCTTAACACCACATTCTACTCCATCACTATTCTAATTACTCATGAATTAATTAGTCAACCCATTCTGACGGTCCACACATTAAGCAAACTTCGTTTCATCTTTATTATAGCACCCCCGTTAAATACATGTCAAAACTCAAAAAATATACAAAGTGAACTTTCTAAAAAAGAAATTACATCTCGTCTATGATTCAACTTTGATCTATGTTACTCGAAATGCTTTCGTCGGTACGTAACTTAATCAAAAGCACGTTTTGCGAAGTTCGCGTATACGGTTACTGAGAATAGACGCAAAAGCTCTTCAAAACAGAGCTTGCCAGAAGCTTTTCATCTTTCTGTCAGTTCTGCTCGTAGAATACAGAGCAAAGCATCACTGACACGCCGTAAAACGGACGCTTTCAACAGAACATTGCTCGATTTTACTGTTTTTCCATGCAACTGTTATTTTAACTTTCTGCATAATTTATTTAAATTATCTGGGGATTTTAGAATTTGGGACTGTTGGGGAATTTGTTTGGGGAATGTTGGGGGTTTGTAAATTTGGGGTGCTGGGATTTGTAGAGGTGGAGTTCTGGGGATTGCAAGCTTGGGAATTTTGGGATTTGTAAATTTGGGGTGCTGGGATTTGTAGAGGCAGGGTTCTGAGGATTGCAAGCTTGGGAATTTTGGGATTTGTAAATTTGGGGTGCTGGGATTTGTAGAAATGGGGTTCTGGGGGTTGCAAGCTTGGGAATTTGGGGATTTGTAAATTTGGGGTGCTGGGATTTGTAGAGGTGGGGTTCTGGGGGTTGCAAGCTTGGGAATTTGGGGATTTATAAATTTGGGGTGCTGGGATTTGTAGAGGTGGGGTACTGGGGGTTGCAAGCTTGGGAATTTTGGGATTTGTAAATTTAGGTATGGGAGAATTTTTGGGGTTGCAAAATTGGGTATTCTGGGTTTTACAGATTAAGGGTAGTTGGTTTTGCAAATTTAGGAATTTTAGGGTATGTATATTAGGGACAGATGGGATTTGCAAATTGGGAATTTCGGGATTTGCAAATGGGAGAATTGTGGGGGTTGCAGAATTGGGTATTCTAGGTTTTACAGATTAGGGGTAGGTGAGATCTGCAAATTTGGGTATTCTGGGATTTGTAGAGGTGAGGATGTTGGAGTTTGCAAATTTGGGAATTGTCAGCTCCACAACTTGACAATTCCACAACTTGGCAATTCCACCATTTGACAATTCCAGCACTTGACAATTCCATCACTTGACAATTCCAACATTTGACAATTCCGCAGCTTGGCAAATCCACCATTTGACAATTCCATCGCTTGACAATTTCACCATTTGACAATTCCACCACTTAACAATTCCAACATTTGACAATTCCGCAGCTTGGCAATTCCACCATTTGACAATTCCATCGCTTGACAATTTCACCATTTGACAATTCCACCACTTGACAATTCCATCATTTGACAATTCCACCATTTGACAATTCCACAACTTGACAAATCCACCACTTGACAATTCCACAACTTGACAATTCCACGAATCGACAATTCCACAACTTGACAACTCTACACCTTAACATCTCCACACCTTGACTACACCACACCTTGACAACTCTACACCTTGATAAGTCTACACTTTGACAACTTTACATCTTAACACCTCCACACCTTGACAACTCCACTGCTTAGGAACTCTACACCTCGACATCTCCACACCTTGACAACTCCACACCTTGACAATTCCACACCTTGACATCTCTACACCTTGACAACATCACACCTCAACAACTCCACACCTTGACCAACCTCCATCTTGACCACTCCACCACTCAAATTAAAAACCATCAAATTGAAGAGTACCTCTACCTCCAAATCCCAGTTAAAACATCCCCCTATATCTCAACCCACCCTCCCCACTAAACAATACCCAGAGTCCGACTCCCAAAGCCACCCAAACTAAACGTACTGACGGTACTTAAACCCAGCTGAAAATCTTGCTAGAAACGCGTTATCGTTCCGACTGCAATCTGCATAATTTCGTTATTACAGTAGCGATAAGACCGGTATCCTGTTCCTCCTCTCTAGTAACCGTCCCCGTTAATCGTTTCGAAATTAATTAACGACGTCTGCCGAAATCCGCGTCAGTTTCTCGGGTTCAATTACCAACGGCTCGATTGAAGTTTCATCGAACGATTCAAGTTCCTCGCGTGTCCCGTACGAAATACGCGAGGCGTAAGGATCGTTCGCGCGATCCGCTATTTATGAGGCAATAAATCATGAATAGAGACCCTTTGCTAACGTAGATTGGCCATGTTCCATTCGCTCACGAGACTCCCAACTGTAATTAACGGCACTGTATATTCCGAGGATAATTACAATAATGTATTTCAGAGCTGGACAAGGTCGTCCCTGGGGCCGTTACCGGTAACCCTAAGTACTCGGTCATCGGGCCGGCTGTCAGCGCTACCAGTAAGTATATCACTCTATATGTCGTAGATTTATTATCACTCTCAATCAATAATTTTACCGGTGCTTCGATTTTCCGAGTATATACTAGATCCGTAAGTGACGGATTATCCGACGGATTAATAGGGTTATCTGTAAGAAAAATTGAGCGATGTCGATTTATTTTGGGATTTATTTATTGTGAGCTGCAGCACGTTAATTTTGGGTCGAGAAGGTAGTTTTAGTGGTGAATTATGAATTGTCGAAAGGAAGGTAGATGGTCAGCATCCTAGCAGAGGTGGACCTGACACACTCGAACTGTCAGAGGTAGATCTACCCATCAGAGGTAGATGCTGAGGTGTCATAGGAGTACTACGTATGTGAATGACATGTTTGAGGGATGTTATTATATAAGTTTGCTTTAATGGTGAATTATGAACTGTCGAAAAGAAGGTGGATAGTCAGTGTGCACCTATCAGAGGTAGATGCTGAGGTGTCATAAGAGTACTACGTATGTGAATGACGTATTTGAGGGATGTCACTATACAAGTTTGCTTTAATGGTGAATTATGAATTGTCAAAAGAAGGTGGATAGTCAGCATCCTATCAGAGGTAGATGCTGAGGTGTCATAAGAGTACTACGTATGTGAATGAGGTATTTGGGGGATGTTATTATACAAGTTTGCTTTAATAGTAAATTATGAATTGTCGAAAAGGTGGATAGTCAGCGTGCACCCATCAGAGGTAGATGCTGAATTGTGAGCTGCAGCACGTTAATTTTGGGTCGAGAAGGTAGTTTTAGTGGTGAATTATGAATTGTCGAAAGGAAGGTAGATGGTCAGCATCCTAGCAGAGGTGGACCTGACACACTCGAACTGGATAGTCAGCATGCACCCATCAGAGGTAGATGCTGAGGTGTTATAAGAGTACTACGTATGTGAATGAGGTATTTGGAGTGAATTATGAATTGTCGAAAGGAAGGTAGATGGTCAGCATCCTAGCAGAGGTGGACCTGACACACTCGAACTGGATAGTCAGCATGCACCCATCAGAGGTAGATGCTGAGGTGTTATAAGGAAACTACATAAATAAAAGACACTTGAGCATAACATTTATATAAATCTAAGTGCAGCTAATGTGAGATCAGATTAAACTGAAATCCCACTTATAACCAATTGAACATTTAATACGCTTTTAAAAGTTTAAAAGTAACATCCGTATTATAAATATTTAATACACACGGTTTATGTATATCCTCCATTTTCAAGGAATTAGCGATCGCATGATATAGAGGTATTAATATAAAATAAATCCGATTATTCCGATCATCTAAAAGGAGAAATTTTGAATCGGAAGGATATTCCGGGCCATCTAACTTCGTAACACGCATTTCTCTCGCTGATAGCTGATTTGCTGCTGAACTGCTTTCAGCGTTCAAACTGGAATAGTAGTTGTTACAACTATAGTTGTTACTACTACTCTTAGGTTGTTGTAACTTCCGACATCCGCAAACAACGACGGGGCTGTGAGTTCAATCGTCGTGGGAAATTTTAGTTTTTATTTTTGGGGAACCACTCTTTGTACTTGGGAAGCTAATATTAGGTTTAATACGACAATTTTTATGAACATAGTGAAATGGACAGTTGTATCAATTATTAAAGGAGAAATTATAATTCAAAAAAATTCATCAAACTTTTTAACTGAAAAATTTTTAAATTGCAATCTGCCAACAGTAAAAAATATCTTCAACTACAAAAGGTTATTTTATTATTAAAAAATTTGACATACATTTTATAAACTCTGGTGAAAATGAAAACTTACTAAAAATAATAACAATTATATAAAGTTAATACTATTCTTTTGTTCATAAAGTTAGTTTTGTGTTCAATTTTGGGACTATTATTAGGTTAACACTACTCGATATTAATTAATACTGTTATCGCTTCATCTTAAGTTATTGAGTCATTGGATTATTGAATTATTCAACTAATCAATTATTGAGTCACTGAATTGTTGAATTATTCAACTATTGAATTATTGAATTATTGAATTATTGAATTATTGAATTATTGAATTATTGAATTATTGAATTATTGAATTATTGAATTATTGAATTATTGAATTATTGAATTATTGAATTATTGAATTATTGAATTATTGAATTATTGAATTATTGAATTATTGAATTATTGAATTATTGAATTATTGAATTATTGAATTATTGAATTATTGAATTATTGAATTATTGAATTATTGAATTATTGAATTATTGAATTATTGAATTATTGAATTATTGAATTATTGAATTATTGAATTATTGAATTATTGAATTATTGAATTATTGAATTATTGAATTATTGAATTATTGAATTATTGAATTATTGAATTATTGAATTATTGAATTATTGAATTATTGAATTATTGAATTATTGAATTATTGAATTATTGAATTATTGAATTATTGAATTATTGAATTATTGAATTATTGAATTATTGAATTATTGAATTATTGAATTATTGAATTATTGAATTATTGAATTATTGAATTATTGAATTATTGAATTATTGAATTATTGAATTATTGAATTATTGAATTATTGAATTATTGAATTATTGAATTATTGAATTATTGAATTATTGAATTATTGAATTATTGAATTATTGAATTATTGAATTATTGAATTATTGAATTATTGAATTATTGAATTATTGAATTATTGAATTATTGAATTATTGAATTATTGAATTATTGAATTATTGAATTATTGAATTATTGAATTATTGAATTATTGAATTATTGAATTATTGAATTATTGAATTATTGAATTATTGAATTATTGAATTATTGAATTATTGAATTATTGAATTATTGAATTATTGAATTATTGAATTATTGAATTATTGAATTATTGAATTATTGAATTATTGAATTATTGAATTATTGAATTATTGAATTATTGAATTATTGAATTATTGAATTATTGAATTATTGAATTATTGAATTATTGAATTATTGAATTATTGAATTATTGAATTATTGAATTATTGAATTATTGAATTATTGAATTATTGAATTATTGAATTATTGAATTATTGAATTATTGAATTATTGAATTATTGAATTATTGAATTATTGAATTATTGAATTATTGAATTATTGAATTATTGAATTATTGAATTATTGAATTATTGAATTATTGAATTATTGAATTATTGAATTATTGAATTATTGAATTATTGAATTATTGAATTATTGAATTATTGAATTATTGAATTATTGAATTATTGAATTATTGAATTATTGAATTATTGAATTATTGAATTATTGAATTATTGAATTATTGAATTATTGAATTATTGAACACCACTTGACAATTCCATCACTTGACAATTCCACCACTTGACAATTCCATCACTTGACAATTCCACCACTTGACAATTCCATCACTTGACAATTCCACCACTTGACAATTCCATCACTTGACAATTCCACCACTTGACAATTCCATCACTTGACAATTCCACCACTTGACAATTCCATCACTTGACAATTCCACCACTTGACAATTCCATCACTTGACAATTCCACCACTTGACAATTCCATCACTTGACAATTCCACCACTTGACAATTCCATCACTTGACAATTTCACCATTTGATAATTCCACCACTTGACAATTCCATCACTTGACAATTTCACCATTTGATAATTCCACCACTTGACAATTCCATCACTTGACAATTTCACCATTTGATAATTCCACCACTTGACAATTCCATCACTTGACAATTTCACCATTTGATAATTCCACCACTTGACAATTCCATCACTTGACAATTTCACCATTTGATAATTCCACCACTTGACAATTCCATCACTTGACAATTTCACCATTTGATAATTCCACCACTTGACAATTCCATCACTTGACAATTTCACCATTTGATAATTCCACCACTTGACAATTCCATCACTTGACAATTTCACCATTTGATAATTCCACCACTTGACAATTCCATCACTTGACAATTTCACCATTTGATAATTCCACCACTTGACAATTCCATCACTTGACAATTTCACCATTTGATAATTCCACCACTTGACAATTCCATCACTTGACAATTTCACCATTTGATAATTCCACCACTTGACAATTCCATCACTTGACAATTTCACCATTTGATAATTCCACCACTTGACAATTCCATCACTTGACAATTTCACCATTTGATAATTCCACCACTTGACAATTCCATCACTTGACAATTTCACCATTTGATAATTCCACCACTTGACAATTCCATCACTTGACAATTTCACCATTTGATAATTCCACCACTTGACAATTCCATCACTTGACAATTTCACCATTTGATAATTCCACCACTTGACAATTCCATCACTTGACAATTTCACCATTTGATAATTCCACCACTTGACAATTCCATCACTTGACAATTTCACCATTTGATAATTCCACCACTTGACAATTCCATCACTTGACAATTTCACCATTTGATAATTCCACCACTTGACAATTCCATCACTTGACAATTTCACCATTTGATAATTCCACCACTTGACAATTCCATCACTTGACAATTTCACCATTTGATAATTCCACCACTTGACAATTCCATCACTTGACAATTTCACCATTTGATAATTCCACCACTTGACAATTCCATCACTTGACAATTTCACCATTTGATAATTCCACCACTTGACAATTCCATCACTTGACAATTTCACCATTTGATAATTCCACCACTTGACAATTCCATCACTTGACAATTTCACCATTTGATAATTCCACCACTTGACAATTCCATCACTTGACAATTTCACCATTTGATAATTCCACCACTTGACAATTCCATCACTTGACAATTTCACCATTTGATAATTCCACCACTTGACAATTCCATCACTTGACAATTTCACCATTTGATAATTCCACCACTTGACAATTCCATCACTTGACAATTTCACCATTTGATAATTCCACCACTTGACAATTCCATCACTTGACAATTTCACCATTTGATAATTCCACCACTTGACAATTCCATCACTTGACAATTTCACCATTTGATAATTCCACCACTTGACAATTCCATCACTTGACAATTTCACCATTTGATAATTCCACCACTTGACAATTCCATCACTTGACAATTTCACCATTTGATAATTCCACCACTTGACAATTCCATCACTTGACAATTTCACCATTTGATAATTCCACCACTTGACAATTCCATCACTTGACAATTTCACCATTTGATAATTCCACCACTTGACAATTCCATCACTTGACAATTTCACCATTTGATAATTCCACCACTTGACAATTCCATCACTTGACAATTTCACCATTTGATAATTCCACCACTTGACAATTCCATCACTTGACAATTTCACCATTTGATAATTCCACCACTTGACAATTCCATCACTTGACAATTTCACCATTTGATAATTCCACCACTTGACAATTCCATCACTTGACAATTCCACAACTTGACAATTTCACAACTTGACAACTCTACACCTTAACATCTCCACACCTTGAAAACTCCACACCTTGACAATTCTACATCTTGACAACACCATACCTTGACAACTCCACAACTTTACAACTGTGCATCTCGACATTTCCACATCTTGACAACACCACACCTTGACAACTCCACATCTTGACAACTCTACACCTTGACATTTCCACACCTCGACAACTCCACACCTTGTCCAACCTCCACCTTGACCACTCCACACCTTGACAACACCACACCTTGACAACTCTACATCGTGACAACTCCACACCTCGACAACTCCACACCTTGACCAACCTCCATCTTGACCACACCACCACTCAAATTAAAAACCATCAAATGGAAGAGTACCTCTAAGGTACAAGTTAGATCGAGCTAATGACCATAGTAGTCGACGCCCACAACAATAATCAATCAATCATTTAAATTCATAATGCAGGTCACCAATGACGTTTTAACTAATATTGACCAGTGTCAACTTAATCATAATCGAACACTCAACAAC